GTCGTTAAAGTCACTAACCTTCTCTCAGCCTCAGTCGCCTCATTTGTAAAATGGAGATAACAATAGCACATATCTCATGGGGTTGTGAAGCCGGCTACACAAATATTTGTTTTCTTAGGTATTTTGTCATTTTGTCACCCACCAGCTACTGAGCCAGGATTAGAATCCGGGGCTCCTGTCTTTCATCCCAGGGTCTTTACCCTATGCTAAGGTGCCTTCTGATTTAATAAGCTCGAATTCCATACAGTAGCCGGAGGTTGAAATCCTAACTAGGCCACATCCACTAAGATATCTCCCTAGCCGTAAGTTTAGATATGTTACATCCTGCCTGTCCCCCACAGTGTCTCATCATATACACTAGAGCTAATTGAATTAATTGGACTCGTGACACCCTCGGCCCTCTCCTTGACGGCAGGGTCTGTGGCTGTCTCTCTGGGAACCTTGCACTGGTTCCTAAGTAAGTGGGGACCTCATAAATGCTCTCTGATGAGGATAATGATGGCCTCACTCAGCTCAGTGATGCTTGTCCCCACAGATACAACACAGGCTTTTTTTTTCAAAGGAAGCAGACATTTGTTGCTAAGCAACATTTAGAGGCCTGGGTCTCTTTCTCACACTAGGTGGAGGGGCAACAGCTGTTCCTAACTTCATTCAAGGACCAGTTGCTTCAAAGTTGCTTTGGCAAGAGTATGTTACTGGGGAATGTCCCTCTGCCCTGAATGATGGGCTCTTGGGGTAGAAGAAAGAGACTACTCTTGTCTATTTGTCTCTTTTTGGGTGTCCTTACCAGTGTCTTCCCCACAATCAGGGTAGGAATTGGTGGGACACTACTTATTTGGCTCTGATGCTGGATTAAAAGTCTTTTGCTTCGAACTACTGTGTCCTCTGGCTGGCCAAGTAAAGGAAAACACGTTGGTGGGGGCTTCTTGTGATCCATGTTTAGATGGATACCACAAACCTGGCATAGATCTCTGGAGGGGTCCACATGGCACAGAGGCTTAGGTGCTTCATTTTGTTATTTTTTTAAAATAACATCCAGTATCTTTGGTTTGTCTGACAACGAAAGAAACAAGGCAAAGAGTTTCATTTCACAAAAGAATGAGTGAGGAAGAGGGTTCTATCTTCTCCCTTCAAAAGCAGCTCCAAATCTAGAAGGGGCCTCCCCAGTTGGGCCACATCAATGGAAGCCAAGAGCTTAAGGAGGACACCTGACAAATGTCAGGATACTTCTTTCGGATACTGTCTCATCATGGGGTCCAGATACAACCATCTGCTGCTTACTTTGAGTACGTCCCCCTCTCTGAGACTCAGTTCCCTTGTCTAGAAAATAAAAGGATGATCTTGGAGGTCTAGCTCTACATTGATGACTGATTTTTCAGGAGCCTCCTGCCCTGTAATCTTCAGGTGGTGACGGAGGCAGACATTGTGGCAGGGCCTTCTCCCCACCCCCAGACCCATCACTGCTGTGACCTTCTCACTTGATCTATTCTGACAAGGCTGTTTAATGCCTCTGCTTACCCTATATCAGCTGAGAAACACATGACTCCAGATGGAGAAGAGGTGGCCACAGCCTTTCCTGGCTCTTAATCCCTGGAGTTCAGCTGGGAGCCCCTGATGCCTCTGGCTATAGCCGGTCATGTGGACCGTTTGCATCATCCATCCCTCTCCTAACTGGAGTCACTTCAAAAGGAGCTTGTCTGCTCACTAGGCTTCCTAATGGCCTCCCAGAGAAGCCTACCCAGGACAGAAGGCTTTCTGAGCAGGAATTTGAGTGAACTTTTTTGGTTTTTTTGCATGTGATTCATATGTGTGTGTGTATATATATATATATATATATATACACACACATATACAAATATTTTATATTCAAATAATATATACACATATATGTATATTATTTGACTATAAGTCACATGCAAAAAAAATTATTCAAATTCATGTTTAGAGGGCTTTCTTTCCCAGGTCAGACTCTCTGGGAGGATATTATATGTGCCAGTATGTGTACATATATGTGCATGTGTACATATATACACATATAATATGATTTATATTCAAATAATATATACACATACATATGTATGTATGTTTATACACATATGTATGTGTATACATCCCATGAATCTGATGGTACCAGTTGTTTCTAAGTTGTTTTGGCCAGAGGAGATGGCCTGGTGGGCTGGATGGGGTGAGGGTTGGACCTGATCTTCACAAGAGCCTGTGAGGGGGTACAGTGAGTATTATTATCCCTCTTTTACAGATGAGGAAACTGAGGCTAAGAGAGGTGAAATGATCCACCCAAGGTCCCACAGATAGAAAGGGAAAAGGATGGCTCATTGCTCTGGGCCTCATTTTTATCACCTATTGAAGAAAGGGGTTAGATAGGATGCCTCCTAATGTTTCATTTAGCTCTGGGGTCTTATCCTGTGCAATAAAAGATCATTAGTTTGGGAATCAGAGAGGACTAGGGTTCAAATTCCACTTCACGTCCTCACTACCTGTGTGACCTCAAAGAAGTCACTTACTCTCTCTGGGGAGGCCTCAGTTTCTTTTTCTGTAAAATGAGAGGATCAGGTTAGATGAAGGTCCCTTTTAGTTTTAAACTTCAAAGTTAATTAAATCAACCTAGAATTCCAAATTCCCCACCTGGATCAGCCCCCCATATGCTTCTTCCATCATTCATAGGTCCCTGTCTGTAACTTAGCACAACATTGCCCCATAGATAATCCTTCTGAGCTCCTCTGGAAGAGGATGGGTCTGTGTTGGCATGGCTATCCCCTCGAGGCATGGGACTGGCCAACAGAGAGGCTCTCCCCTAGGCCTTCACCTAAAATGACCTGTGCTCTCTGAGTTTCATGGTACTGCTGATGGGACACAGATCTGGTTATCTGTGGAGGAGGGCCATTGTTGGTGCAGGATGCAGATGGGAAGAAAGGGGTAAGCCTTCGAGATGGCCAGGTGCCGTGGGAAACTCCTGCCGGAACATTTCAGTTAACCTTTCCCTAGTTCGCTAAAACTCATTGCAGAAGGCCAGATCTAGGCTTGGAGATGCAGTCCTCCTGTCCTTTAGCTGATGTTGACTAGATAGAGGAAGAGAGGAAATTAGGTAAAAAGTAGGGAGGTGAATTATCCACTGTTAACAAAAAAAGGGGAAGGGAGGAGTGGAAGATAGAATTTGGACCCAAGAATCAATTTATTTTTCTTTTCAGATTCTTCCCTGGCTTCTTAAGGATTAGATAGAATGCTAAAATGCTCACCACGTATAATTGCTCATAATCACCGGTGGCTCATCACCGTGATTGACAGCCAGACGTCAATGGACCATCTAGGGACCCCTCCAGCCCCCAAGACTGGGAGGTTGAAAGGGGCTAATCCCTCCTGCAAGCTGCTGCCGCTGCCCATTAACAGCAGATGAGCTAATGACATTCTGCACATGCAGTCCTTTCAAGAAGGAATCCGTGCAGGATATACCCCCTCCCTACGCCCCCCTCCCCCAGCCTCTTTTTTTTGTCTTTTGGTCAAAGCCGGCAATTGAAGCATTAGCGTGGGTTTTTAAGACAGAAAACGCAGTTGGTGGATTTTGTTTTTGGTGTTTTGTTTTGTTTTTAAATAACGCTCATCTTCTGACCACCCCATCAGAAAATATTTACAGCTCTGGCATGTCGGAAAGGAAGAAAGGCAGCCCAGAAACAGCGATTGGGCAAAGTCTGTGCCTTTGTCTTGTGGGTGCTCATGCCGGCTTCTTTGCTCTGTAGGGGAAAGGGTTAAAGAACACCTAGTCAAGTTGGGGGAGGGGGGCCACTTCAGGATTCCTTAAGTATCTAGAGGGCTCCCTCCATCTTATCCCCGTTTTTAGAAAGATGGCTGTGTTTCCCATGCTGGCAACCCCCTCCGAAAAGAATCATCACTCCTCCCCGATCTTTTTCTGCTGAGCAGGACTAAAGTGAACTGGAAAGCCCTTGAGCTACCAAAGGCATTGGAGCGATCTATAATTCATAAGTGCCTCCAACCAGCCAGCTGAATCCATTCGGGCAGGCTCTCTCGCTCCTCCGTGCCATCCCTCATTGCATTATCCCCTTCTGCCAGAAAACCACGGGGCGATACAGCTTTTCTGCAAGCATGGAATGCAAAGATGGGCTTTGTTTGGGACCGGAGAATGCCCCCAGTCGGGGAATCTCTCTATTTTAGGACTCGTCGTCATTTGGCTATTGGATCTGCTGGGGTTTCCTCGTTTCTCGGGAGTTGCTGTCTCTGGGCACGGGGTATTCTTTGCAAGGAATTTTTGCCGGTCCTGGTGTGCAGAGCTTTCCAAAATGCCAGAGGCAAACTATTTATTATCTGTATCTTGGGGTTACATCAAGGTGGGTTTCTTTTCCTTAAAGATTACTTGTAAATGTTTGGGGAGTGTGTCTTGAGACAAAGCTGGGCAATATTTCTGTCTGCGTGTTTTATGTGAAGAAAGCATCTGTGATTGTTCAAGAATTAGCTGTGTGACTGAGCACCCTTTGCTCTGAAATAGTAGCAAAGCCTGGTACTTTTCTTCCTGGGGTCTACACTTATTTCTATTTAAAACGAGTGTTTCACTTATTTTCTCAAACTTCTAATGTGCACGTTTCTTTTTGCCATACAAGTCATTAACCCAAATCATACATTGCAGCTAAGTGCTTTAAAAAAAAAATACCAATGGAAAGCACCATTTTGTATGTTCTTAGACACATTCTTTGGAGCCAACCTGAAAAAAAAAATCTTTTTTTCTTTGTCTGCATAGAAGGGGGTGTGCTCTTCACGAGAGTAAGAGTAAAGCTCTGCTTCCAAAGGTAGCATTGAAACATCTAATTAAAGCTGCCTTGTATTTTATGGAAATGAAGCCAGATGAAACCTATGCTCTCATTCAGGTTTCCCAAGGTGGTTTCTCCAGTGGGAAAGTTAGAAGCAACTGGACTGGTCATAGTTTCTCATTTCTTCTATTAATAAAGTATTTTTTTTCTTTCTCTCCCAAATAGTTCAAGAGAATGTTGAATCGGGAGCTGACACACCTCTCGGAGATGAGCCGGTCAGGGAACCAGGTGTCTGAATATATTTCAAACACTTTCTTAGGTAAGACATTTGCTGTCAACTTTTCAAGTCCTTAAAAAAAAATCAGACTTTTTTTTAAAAAAAAAAAAAACAATAAAAGACATTGGTCACTGGGGCCATGCCTAGGAGGGAAGGTTCAGGCCCTGGAACACATTACATTGTATGCCCCCGCCCACCAGATATTTTTATCCAGGTGAAATCTGTCTTGAAGGGAAAAAGAAGCAGGCGGTGCTGTCACAGAAGTATCCTGCATGTTCATGGAAGAAGGGAGGGGGAAATTCTAGGGGCAAGTCTGATTTCCATCTGGATTCCTTCCTTGCTCTTTGGGGTTCTCCTTTCCCAGTCGTTGGCAGGGAAGGATCTCTGCCTCTCTTTCCTCTCCTCTAAAGCAAAGAAACCCAATTAGCTGTATCCTAGGGACAGCCCTCTTTCTCCTAGGCTCACACACCCAAGATGGTTTCAGGAACTAAGTATTAGAAAGGTGTTTCCTTATTTAGAAGGCTTGGATGGAGAGTCACAGGTGAATAGCTCCCAGTGAATGATTCCATATGGTTAGTTGGGTTTTTCTTCTAAATTTGAAACTTATTTTGCTAGGTTGCCTCTACCTCTAACCCAGATAAACATTAAAATAAAAAAAAAACCTTCCAGTTAGGGGTGATTGAGAGGGAGAAGAGACAGGGCCAGCATCATCTAACCAGCCAGCATCATTCCCCAGGGCCACCGCCGCCTGGTTCTCTCACTGTGGGGAAGCTTTTGTCAGGAACTGACTTACTTGGGCAGGTTTAACTGTGGCTGGACCAGGACTGAATTCCTGCTGTGTAACCCCCACTGGTCCCTGGTCCCTTACTCGGGCATCCATGTGAAACTGAGGTTGGGGATAGCGTAAATTTATCTGGAGTTCACTTTTCGACCAAGTTTCTTGAGGCTTCTGTTACATCTTGGGACATATGCCCCGAAGGGCCGGGCTGGTATTTCAAGAGCAAATTTTTGCTGGCTCGTGTCTCCCTCAGTCACTCCACGTGCCAAGGGGACCTCATGCTTCCAGACCTGCATGCAGCACCTCCTTTGCTTGCATAGCAACACAGCATTAAGACAATATGTATTTTTCTTTATATCTCAGGGAATTATATTACCAGAGGAGAGGAAAAAGGAGAGAAAGGGAGGAGAAAGAGGAGGGGGAAAGGGGAGGACAGGAGAAGAAAAGGGAGAGAAAGGGAGGGAGAAGGAGAGGAGAGCAGAGGAGAGGAAAAAGAAAGAAGGTGAGGAGAAAAGGGAGAGAAAAGGAGGGAGAGAGGGGGGAGAGGAGGAGAGAGAGAGAGAGAAGGGGAGAGGAGAGGAAGGGGGGGAGGAGGGAAAGAAAGGGAGAGCAAGAGGGGGAAAGGGAGGGAGATCCAGCCAGTCTCTCCATCAATACTAAAGGGCAAGCTTCATCAGCTCACAGAGAATCAATCGTCTACCAGTTCCCGCAGCCTAAGTCCACAGCACAGCATTGCCTTATCACAGAGAGGGACAGGGATATTGACAAGTGCTTTTTCCAGAGGATTTTGGAATGTGCAAATTTGTTGCTTCTCTGCCTTTCAGCCTGAAATCCCAGAGGGCTTTGAGAACAAAGGAAAAGAAAAAGTCACTTTGTACTTCTGTCCCCAGGCTCCTCTCCCCCACCCCCTGCTCTGACATTTTAAGGAAGGCATTTTCCAACTAAGGACCCCTTCGTTTCCACAAGTTCCAACCTTCAGCAGGTCCTTTTCATGAATTCCCCTAATCTTCTCCCCCGCTTCCATAACCACCATTTTGGGGTGAGAAGACTATTACTTTTCAGATTGTGCAGTGGAGTGAGTTACGGAATTCTGGAAGAACAGTAATTGATGTGATCACCACATCTCCTTCCCTAAACCTCACCCATCTGCCCAAAGAGAGATCTCAGTCTATAATAGGCAGCTAGAGCAGTTTGATTCAGCTTGACAACACTCAGGGCTAGACTCAAGTGTGGCTCATCTCTCTCACACACATACAATTAATTGTGACGAGAGATAATAACATTGGTCTTTCATACGGCTTTTTTTTCCTCCCTTTTCTTTCCAAATGTCAGCTTTGCCCGGTAGTTTCTATGCCCTTGGCAGCCAGGGAGATGGAAAAAGGGGAGATGAACATTTCCTGGTGTTTCTCAGCAAACACTAGACCAAGTTATTGAGGAAGGTTGGAGAAACAGCCTCTCCAGGAAGCTTTCATTAATGGCTTATGGAGACTTAGAGGACCTGAGTGCATGTGGGCAGATGACTTCATCTCTCAGACTCAGTTTCTTCATCTATGGAATAAGAATAATAATACTTGCATGGCAGGGTGACTAGATTTTCGGTTAAGAAATCCTGGGTTCAGGTCCAAATATATGCCTCATTATAACTCTGAATGTCACTTCCCTGAAACCTCAATTAAATGGGGATAATAAATCACATGTAGTCAAGGCTGGAAACTGGAAAGTCTCAGTCCCAACCTTGCTAGCTTTGTGATCCTAGGCAAATCATTTATCTTTTATCTTCAGTTTTCTTGCCAGAAAAAGGGGATAATAAGATTTCAGCGACTTGTCATGACTACCAGAATATATATCAAGTGTTTTGCAGACCTTCCAATACTATGTAATTGGAGCTATTAGGAGACCAACTTCCACTATGCTATCGACCTAAGCTCAAATGAGAAAATTTATCTCCAGCAAAAAGTGCTATCTATTGCTGTTAATATTATAATATTAATAATTACCCTGCCTCACAGGGTTGTCATGAAGCTCAAACAGAAGCATAGTGTTTTGCCAGTGTTCTGCCAGTGTTCCATTGTTAGAGGTCATTCTGGAAATAATCAGTTATTCCATTATCTGTTATGTTTCTCCAATAGATGGTAAGGTCCTTGAGGGCAGGACTGTGCCATAGTCAAGCACAGTGCTTGGTATAATCAATGTTGGTTGATCGATTAATTTCGGCTAAAGATTTTGAAGGCTAGCAACAGGGAAAATGTTTCCAGAGATTTGCATCAATGAGTGGGCACCCAGTAGTGAGAGGCCTTCAATGCTTCTGACCTCATTAGGAGTGAGTTTTCTCTTGGTTGTTTGGTTTTTACTCTGACTCAGCTGTTGTTTGCAACGGGAGCATTTCTGTGGATTCTCGTTGTCAGTGCTGGGTTCACACTTCAACTGAGATAGTGGGGTTTAGAGCCCAAATGCAGTGTGGGAATCAACTACCTCATTTGGAGGTTCTTAACTGGGGGTCTAGGAGTTGATTTTTAAAAGATATTTTGATAACCATATTTCCATGGAATTGGTTTCCTTTGTAATGCTATGGATTCTATTTTATGGGTTGAAAAGCATGATTCTGAGAAGGGGTCCAGAGGCTTTGCCAGACTGCCAGGCAGTCCAGGAATCAAAAAATGGCTGAGAATTTTTTATCTAATCCAACAGAGGAAGACCTGGGCTCAGAGAAAGGTATGGCCTTGCCCAGGGTCAGAGAGCCAGTACAAGTTGGAGGTGGCATTTGGCTTGGGTTTTCAGTCTAGCCCTTTTTCCTCCCCTAAGCCAGGTTTTTCCATTTTGTTTTTATTTCAGCTCCTACCCACCCACCCACCTCCACAGCTGATGGGAGGAAATTCAGAATAGGGAAATCCATCAGTTGTTCCATTGACCACACAAGGGAAACACCCATTAGTGTCAAATTGGTGCTCCTGCAGCTGAAGAATGACTTTCTTTTTTATTGTGATGTTCCAGGCACAGCGGTAGGGCAGCTCAATTACCCACTATTGTAGGAATCTTTAATTAAGCCCAGGAAGAAGCTGCTGGTGCCAGGATCCCCCTGGAGACACACATATCTACACAGGCACAGGATGGCCTAACAGTCTCTAACCAGATCATGAAAAATGGTGGTCGTGAAAAACAGAAGCAATAGTCCCCCCCCCCAATTAGTGCAGTAATCATTTTTTTTAATGTAATAAAGGGAAAAGGGAAAACAAGAAACCAGTTGCTAAAGTGATTAAAATACAACCGTCCTTCAGACCCAGAGTGTAGTGGAAAGAATGATGTCCTTGGATTCTCAATACCGGAGCTCCAATTCCATCTTGGACACTGCTTGTGTGACCTCAGATAAATTACTTCATCTTTCTCCCTCATCTGAAAAATTAGAGGGTTGGACTAGATGAGGTCCCTTCCAGCTCTATACCCAGGACCCTGGGTCCTGGTGTCATTAGGAGAGAAAACATTGACTTTGGAAGACAGGACCTAGGGTCAGGTCTGGGCTCTTGCTGAGGGGATACATGAATACATGAGATCTTAGACAATTCACTTAGGCACAGTTCTCTTGTCTTAAAATAAGGGTATTAGAGCTGATCATTTCTAAGTCTCCAGGAGCTCTAGATCTTATTCCAAAATGTATTTTTACTTGTATCCTGGGGTTGGATTTAACTTGATTTAACCTGATCCAGAGATTAAGAGAGCTAGCAAGAAAGCATGTGTTATGTCTCTGCCATTCCCTAGGCACTGTGCTAGGGACTGCAGCTCAGAGAAAAAAATAAAGTCATACCTGGCCCTCAGCTTATATTCTATCAGATGAAGCAATATGTACATTGTATATTTTAATGATTTTAAATAGAATTAGTGAATACAGAGGAGGGTGTTCTATAGAACATGATCTTGAATATATATAGAAAAACATATGTATGCACAAATGTATATTATTACATTGGTTATCTATATTACATATAATATGCATATATGTGTAGTATTGCATTAGTATAGCTATATTGTTACATGCAATGTGTGATATTGTTTTGCATCATATGATTATTATATGTAATAATATGTATAGTATTGCACTGATAGAATCATTAAATTAACCACTTGTGTTTCTAAACCTATCATTACCAAGCCACAGGAAATAAAGAGGCAAAAAGAACCTTGTAAAATCAGGGAATGCCAAAGTTGAAAGGGATATATGAGACTGGATCACTTCTTCCGGACTTTTCGTTTTACAAATGAGGAAACTGAGACTGAGAAAAGTGAAATTACTTGTCCAAGGTCACAGAGATAATAAGCATTAACATATGATTATAGGATCATAGATTTAGAATTACAAGGGTTCTTAGAGGTCATCTACTCCATACGTCCTATTTGACAGGTGAGGAAACTGAGACCCAGATCAGTTAAGTGACTTGTACAAGGTCACATAGATAGCACATACCATTTATGTATATCTTTAATCAATGTTTATTGAATTAATTGGAAGGATTTGCCTTCTCCTGTTTTCTTTTATGTTAATTTCATCCACTAAAGAGCTGTGATGGATTTTATACCTTTCCTCATTCTTCTGATATGCTAGTTGCCCATTAAAAACAATCCTCTACTTAAAACCCAGTTTCATTCCATGAAATCTTTTTAGAAATATCTGCTGTACATACTGAGTGAGGGAAATCGTTTGTTAACTTTTCAAAAAGTCTACACTTGTTCTCACCATGTGGTCACTAACTTTGCCTCATCATGAAAATAATATGTGGACTAGCTTTGCCTTACCCAGCTAAGGTCTGAATGCCTTCTGCCCTGCAGCTGTGCTGATGGTGGTCTGAGAATATACCTCCCCTTCTCTCTTTTGCAGACAAGCAGAATGAGGTGGAGATTCCATCTCCTACCCAGAAAGATAGGGAGAAGAAGAAAAAAGAGCAGCAAGTCATGACCCAGATAAGTGGAGTCAAAAAGCTGATGCACAGCTCTAGTCTGAATAACACCAGCATCTCTCGCTTTGGGGTCAAGACGGAGAAGGAAGATCACCTGGCAAAAGTACGTACAAGCTTGGGCATAGGGATGTCTGTGCTTTGCAGTGTCTAGATCTGAATGGAAGCTCAGTTCATCCTCAGGGAGCCGTCTTGAGAGTAAAGGCAGAAGATGGTACTGGGGTCAAAGTATTGGCTTGGGAGTCAAAGGAACTAAGTTTTAAAAAATCCTACCCCAGGTGACTTTTTTTAAATTAGAGACAATGTGGGAATTTTATTTGCTTGATTATGCATATTTGTTTTAATGGGTTTATTTTTCTTTTTTCTTTCTGGGAGGATGGGGCTGAGAAAGAAAGAAAATAAAATTTTATTAATTGAAAAAAATTAATTGAAAATTAATCTAACATAATTATGTGTAGTTAGCCAAACTTTACTTAAAGACCTGGTGTGAGGGGGAACCCATCACCTTCCAATGTATTCTTCCCCTGGACTAAGAAGAGTAAGCTCTTTTTCTCCAACTTAAGAGCTACATGACCTTGAGCAATCAGCTCATCCTTCTGGGCCTCCATTTGCTCATCTGTCAAATGGGAGGATTCATAGGATTTAGACCTGTAAGGAACTTTAGAGATCATTTAACTCGGTACTTTTACTTAAAGGTAAGGGGGGAAAAAGGGGGCAAGTAATGCTCCCGAGGTCACATAGTAGTTAAGAACAAAGCCAGGATTTGAGCCCAGGTCTTCTGACTACAGATCTCAATTGTTGAACTGGATGTTTCCCATAATGCCTTCCAATGTTCTAAAGCCTCCAAAATGAAGAGAGTTACCTGAATGAGGCATGACCTCTCAGTCTCATGCTGAAGCTCAAACCTCAAAAGCAAATATGTCTCCCAGTTCTTCTCATTTGATGACCCAGTGACTCCAATTTGTAAGACACAATCATTGCACATCGTGGTGTGTATGTCACCCTTTTAAGGTCGAATGATTGAGGCTGACTTACACACCATAATACACTGACAGTTGACTGGATCCATCTTTGCTGGCTTTTAGCTGCTGTTCTCAAGTGTCAAGTTAGATATAAGCTCCCTAAGCTTATATCTAAAGCTGCTGCTATGGTCCTGTAGAAACAGTAGAAAGAGCATTGGCTGTTAAGTCAGAGGGCCTGGGTTCAAATCCACATTTCACAATTACTACTCATGCAACCCAAATAAAATGAGTAAGGTCAAAGAAAGGGATGGAGAGTTAGGGTGGGGAGAGCAGAAACAGAGGGAAAGCATGCAGGTCAACTAAAATGATGGGAGATCAAGTAAATGAGAATGAATAGACACAGATTTCCATAGAAGGAAGAACTCACAAAACTGTATGAAAATAACAGATTTGAATGTAAATAGTTACCAAGGAAGTTTCATTGGTGACAGCGATGTTCCATGGTTAGTATTCGTTGAATGTTTTTGTTTTGTTTTCTTTAATGAAGCCAGATATTCTCACTAAATGGCTTTACCATTGATTTTAGGAGCTGGAAGACCTGAACAAATGGGGTCTCAACATCTTCAAGGTAGCTGGATATTCCCACAACAGGCCCTTGACGTGTATCATGTATGCCATATTCCAGGTGAATAAATGGGGCCATAGGAGAATCCATTGAATGTACCCTTTATTTTTCCCCCACCCCAGTGACTCTCCCAGTTTTCTTCTACTCCATTTGTGAGGAAGCCTTCATTATCATCATTCACTTACTTGTCTTTTTATCCATTTTTCTGAACAGGAAAGAGACCTTCTAAAAACGTTCAAGATCTCTTCCGACACCTTTGTAACCTACATGATGACTTTGGAAGACCATTATCATTCTGATGTGGCATATCATAACAGCCTCCATGCTGCTGATGTTGCCCAGTCAACCCACGTTCTCCTCTCAACCCCAGCCCTAGATGTGAGTGATCATGCTTGTTTCTTATGCTTTCCCCTATCCCTTAAAAAAAATGCTCTGCAGAATTTAAAGTAGAATGCCTTCAGGTATATCAATGTGGCAATGCTAGATGCCCATTATCAATGATACTTTCAGTCAATTCCTAAGACATCATCTTTGATTGTTTTATTTTAAAAATAATGGAGCCCCTTGCTTTTATCATAGGCCAATCTTCAATTACTTCTCCTGTAGAATAAATATCATTTAATGAATCATAGGTAAGCCATAGAAAGATTTTGAAGGTTGGAAAATGACACCTAAGATTTAGTATGGAAAGGACCTTAGAGGCCATTTTGCAAATGAGAAAACTAAAGCATAGAGATGTTACAGGAATAGTCTTGAGTCCTACAGAGTCAGGATTTGAACCCGTCTTCTTGACTTAGTGTGCTGTTTCTCAGATCCATCATTCCACAAAGCTAGTGAAACTTCTGTCCCCCTAAAGACGGGTCCAGAGGCCTGAGCCGTAGTCCCAACTCTATCCTCTACTCCCTGTGTGAACTAAGACAAATCACTTTCCCTCTCTCAGCCTCAATTTCCCAATGAAGTCAGATCAAATGGTCTCTGCAGTCCCTCATGTTCTCACACTGGAGGACTGTATTACTGAGCTCCAACTGTGTGTGCACCCATCATGATGTTAAATTACTTTATGAGAGAAACAGCTGCCATATATCTGTGTTCCTAATGGCAAGGCACTTAACAATCTAGTCAGAGAGAGAGAGAACTGGTGTCCGTGAAACCATTAGAGGACAAGGACGTGCTGAATTGTGTGTTACTAATAATGAAGGAAGGAAGAATTCAAAGAGAGGGGAGGTCAGGAGGGGCTTCAGGAGTCTGAGAAGACTTCATAGAAGGAGGTAGCATTTCTCCCTTAAAGGCCACCAGATGCCCAGATCTAATGATCATTTGGGTTTCCACCATTTAAGAAGCCTCCATTTCCCCATATTCTCTCAGTGGGTCAAGTTTTCTCTCAGAGGAGCTGCTCCCTGAAGAATGAGTAGAATTTAAGTGAGGAAAGTGAAGGAGGGGGTGTGTGGAAGCAATGCAGTGTAGCAGCAAAAAGAACTCTGGACGTGGGTTTAAGAACAGCTCGCTTCCAGTTCTGACTCCACTACTGGGTCTGTCCCTGTGAGCTATTGAAGTTGCCTCACCTGTCCTGGTCCTCAGAATGAGAATACTGCACAAGAGGTCCTTTGAAATGGAAGTTTCTGGTCCTGGGAAGTGATCAGAGCTCAGATCCATTCCAAGAAGGCTAAACAACCATAAGAGATGCTGGTGATTACTAACTCAGAAAGAAGGCAAACTGGAATGGGAAAGAGACTCAGAAATCTCAGGTGACCTGGAAAAACTCAGAAGGCCAGACTGACCTCTTAGGAATCTTAAGTCTTACCCTTAGTATTCAATTAATCTGGAGTGAATGAGTGAAGGAATGAATGCCTCTGTAGGACCATTCTCTGTGAGCTCCAACATGGAGAGAGGCTTTATCTCCATTCCTTTGAGGCTAGAACTTGGATTCACCAAACTGCTCAGCCAGAAACTCCCAGAGGTCCTTATCTGCCACCTTGGAAGAGTCCTGGTTTGCTTCTAGGGCTTGGAGGAGCATTCACTGCATCAGTGACACTGTCTATCCAAGAATCTGGAGTCAACAGTGTACATGAACCATCTTGGCAGTGTGGCAATGATCCACCAACCTTGGACCTGCAGGCTGGAGTGGGCAAATAACTGGCTCCCAGCCCTCTTAGGTCAGAGATTGAAAGTGCCTTTTGCTAATGGATAGATGTGGTACTTTTTGTTTAAAAAGTATGATTTTTATTCAGGCCTCTTGTTAAAAATAAAGCCATCCCCCCTCTGAGGATGAATGTAGATACTTTTAATAAGTTATAATCACACACACACACACATATCTCGTCATGCTAATCCTGTGAGGTAAGCATGATAGCTATTATTCTCTACGTTTTACACATGAAGAAACTGAGGTTCACTTGGGTTAAATGAACAGGCTACCCCCAAAGAGTTGTAGATATCACGTCACTGGAGGCAGAATGGTAGCATGCTAAGAACAATGGAACTGGAATCAGAGCATCTGAATTCAAACCTGATTCTACCATTCTACCATTTACTGTGTAAACTCTAGGCAAGTGATTTTACCTCTTGACTCTCAGTATTCTCATCTGTAAAATATGGGGGTTGGACTAGATGACCTCTCAGATTTCTTTCACCTCTGACTCTATTACCTGTCACTTAACCTCCCGGGGCCTCAGTTTCCTCATCTGTAAAAGGGGGGGGGAGGTGCAGGGTTGGATAAGATGATGTCTGAGATCTCTTCTTGCCCCAGATCTATAATCCCAACAGAGCTTGGATGACTTTTTGTCAAGTTGAGAAAGGGAATCCTGTGCAAGTATAAGCTGGACTACTAGATGGATGAGGAAATTTTCTAGCCCCGAGTTTCTGGGATTCTATGCTTTGTTTATGGTGACCCAGAGACCGATTTCAGTGATGGGATTCAAACCCGGATTTGTCCTGACTTCAGGTCCAAGGCTTTTCCACTGTATCATCTTGCCTCTCTAATTAAAACAAGCCCTATATTTTTTCCCTTATTGGGTCGAAGAGCCCTGGGATGAAGTCTTCTTTCTTTGTTTCTCTAGGCTGTCTTCACAGATTTGGAAATCCTGGCTGCCATCTTTGCTGCTGCGATTCATGATGTTGATCACCCTGGGGTCTCCAATCAGTTCCTCATCAACACAAGTGAGCTCACCTCTTGGGCTGTGGTTCAAGGCAGCTCCATGACTAATAGCATTTTCCCCCGTCTATTGTTTTCATTTGAGATAGTGACAAGTATAAATAATGAGGTAATTCTTCCATTGTACTGGGCGCCGGTCAAGCTCTTCCCTGGATATTGCATCCAGCTCTTTCTCTACAGTTTTACAAGCTGCAGGATGAGCTTGGAAAAGGTTCAGACAAGGGCCATAAAAAACATTTTGGAGAGTGGAAAACAAGACCAAGGAGGAAAGAAGAAAGGAAATGTGATAATTCAGGATGGAGAAGGGAAGGCTGAGGATTAATTTGATAATGGATAGGCTGCCCAAGTATACAAAGAGATTTTCTGACTCACACTTGTTTATCTCTCCTGAGGAGTATACAAAGTGTTTGGGAAGTGAGAAAAAATTCCTCAAGTTCCAGTAAAACAAAGAATCAGTTGCTGATGAAAGTCATTACTTGGGCATTACAAAGATTGGGTATAGATGATCTGGGAAGGTCTGAAGCAAGAAGAATGTCTGAGATGACCTTGGCACGTCCTTCCAGTATTCTGATTTTGTAGCATAGCTCAAAGTTCAATTCATGCCTTACCTTTTTCTCCTGCTCATTATGAATCATAGATTTAGAGCTGTAAGTCATCCATTCAAAGGCGTCTATTTCAATCCTATCATTTTACAAATCATAAGATCTTAGATTTAGAGCTGGAGGGGACCTTCAGGGCCATCAAACCCATCATCTTACAGATGAAAAAAACTGAGGCTCAGAGGAGATGCAAGACTAGCCCAGGGCCACACAGGTGATAAATATCTCAAGCAGGATTTGAACCCAGGTCGTCCTTACTCTAGGTCCTTAATTCTGACCCTTATGCCAAACTGCCTCTTACAGTGGCCTCTCATCTTCAATATGTCCATTCTATGAATTTCATATATCTCTTGTTAGTGACTCAACTTTAGTAATTGTCTGCCAGTGGTGATGATTATCATCCTGGTGTTGAAAGTTTAATAGAGACACTATTTCATCTCTTCCATGCTTACTATCCATGGTTGTGAATGAGAGAGAGTTCAAGCCTTTAGTTCTTGGAAGGCCCTATTTATGCATGGGTGCCCACCTTTGGATAGCTACCTCTTGGGGCTAGTTAGGGCAAGCTTCAACTTCCAAGTGGCCATTTGGCTTCACCAGAGAAAAGCGTTTTCCACAGCAAGCGTCTGCTTAGCCAACCTCATAGTACATTATTCAGTTGAGCATCTATTGTGCACTAAGCATGGTAGACATAAAAGAAACAGTCCCTGCCCTCCAGGGAGCTTACTTTATGAGCTCTCTGACCTCAGGGGAATCATTTGACCTCTCTGGAATAATTTGCTCACGAGGGTAATAATACTGTTGGGAATAAATTGCTTTGTAAACCCTCCAGCAGGTGCAGTCACTCAGTCAGTTAGCAAGCACATATTAAGTGCATAATCTGTATGAGCTGCTGGTCTAAATGCTGGAGATGCCAAGAAAGTCAAATAAGGAAATTGCGCACTGTCTCTGCGTTGTAATAGTCAAAGTGGCCGTTACTAATGTTGTGTCCCAAGTGGCCTCATTCACTGGGCCTGCAATGCCACCTTCCTCCTCCTTCACCTACAGGAACCCACTCAGACTGGCCTCTTGCTCAGCACCGTTTTTCTAAGCTGTCTGTGCCCATCACCTTCAGCATCTGCGCATATAAATATATACCTGTCTGTTCTTGTCACTTGGTTATGTTTTCCTGGGGTGATGACTGTGTCTTAGTCGATGTGACCTGCTTCCAGTAAGGCAACAAGCATTGATTAGGCACCTATAAACACAGAGTCCCTGACTTCAAGGAACATAGTTTCTCATAGGGAGAAAACAGGGATAGTTGGTCAGTCAACAAGCATGTGTTAATCATCTACTGTATTCTAAACACTGAGTATACAAAGAAGGGTAAAAACCAGCTCCTGTTGTCAAGAAGTCAATAGTCCAATGTAAGTAGAGGATGTGATCACACAGTATATGAAGGTAATCCAAAGGAGGAAGACTTTTCTGGATGCTTATTGAATTAATGAATCAAATGTGTAAAAGTAGAGAGAGGGATAGGAAGGTCTGAGTTCAAATTCTGCCTCAGACACTGGGTAAATCATTTAAAATATTTCTCAGTCTCAGTTTCCTTATCCATAGGATGGGGATAACAATACCACCTACCTCCCAAAGTTGTTAGAAAGATCAAATGAGTTAGTGTATGTCAAGTGCTACGCAGACCAAACCTTAAACCCTCTAACATCATCTTTCTACAGCTCATAGCATCTTTGATTTGGAGCTGGAAAGGACTGGGTGCCCCTAGAGCACACCCACAGAAGCAGGATCGAGTTGTTTTGTGGCAGAAAGGGGTGGCCTCTCACTGGTGGTTGTGGATGAGTTAGACCAGTTGCTAAGGTCCCTTCTCACTCTCAGAGTCTGGAATTCTAGGATTATTATTTATGTAGGAGAAGACTTTATCTATATCTATGTCTATATCTATAGCTATAGATATATATGTAATAGATTATTGCTTTTGTAGCCTTTTTGTAAATGAAAAGTCACTTTCATTCGTATTTCCCCCTAGATTCTGAGCTCGCTCTCATGTATAACGATGAGTCTGTTTTGGAAAACCACCACTTGGCCGTTGGATTCAAATTGCTTCAGGAAGAACACTGTGACATTTTCCAGAACCTGACCAAGAAACAGCGTCAGACCCTCAGGAAGATGGTGATCGACATGGTAAGGCTTCCCTTCCCCGGCCACTCTCCCTGCTGCCCTCAGGAGAAGCAAGGTCTCGCTGCTCGGGGGAGCATGGATGGAGTCGACTGAGTGGCTTACTTTTCCTTTGGGTCACAGGTTTTGGCGACGGATATGTCCAAGCACATGGGCCTGTTGGCAGACCTGAAAACAATGGTGGAGACTAAAAAAGTAACCAGCTCCGGGGTCCTGCTTCTGGACAACTACACAGATAGGATACAGGTACCCGATGGCCGTCTGGGCTAGATACTTCTCTGATATGACACTGAGAATTCCACTTGGGGGGAGGACGTAGGATTTTAAAAGTGGAAGTACACCTGGGAGGTTATCTCCCATCCCTCCTTTCGTTGAGGAAGCCGCCCACAGAGTCTAAAATTCTTGCCCAAGGTTACAAAGGTGGGAAGAATCGGAGAAGCAGAGGTTGGAATAAGAAGCACTGACATTTACCCATAAAATGCACTTTTGCATATGCAAGAGGCAGAAGGCCATAGAGGATAGAAAGCTGGCCTTTTCCCCAGGAAGACCTGGGTGCAAGTTCTGCTTCTGACACATAATAACTTGGTGACACCGGACATAAAACTTCAGTTCTCAGTACCCTAGGTAGCTAAGATGTTAACCTACACTGGTAGAAGGATTCACCTCGAGTTCCCTGTTTTAGTAACATATAAGTAAATTATTAAATATGGAATTAACATGAGCTCCATTTATTCTATTCAAAACCCAGTACTAATAGCCCATGGACATTTGTCAGTTCCAGAAAGTAAAAATAAACCCCTTTGATTTGAAATTTGAGTCTGATTTGGTCACCTCAAATGTCAGCTGCCTTTCATTCCATGAAAGGTAGCGGGAGGGTCTCTGAAGACATCTTCTTTTAATAGCCTACCTAAGAAAGAAGGGGCTAAAATCCACTCAAATTCCATGACTCTGAAAAGATTCCCGTTTCTCTGGGACACTGAACCAAGCTTTGGCCTCGACCCACAGGCCAGCAAGCTTCAGCCGGGGCTTTCCTCAGAGCCGTGTCTTGCATAAACACTCCCCAGTCGTCTCACGGCCCGAATATTCTTGGTGTCTGTAAGCAGACCAAGTGTACCAGGATGGGCCTGGGGAGGGCCGAACGAGATGCTCCTTTAGCGTTTGCATGCTTTTTTATGGGCTTTTCTGAACTTCGCCACCCTAGGTCCTTCGCAACATGGTACATTGTGCTGACCTGAGCAACCCCACCAAGTCTTTGGAATTGTACCGGCAATGGACAGACCGTATCATGGAGGAATTCTTCCAACAGGGGGACAAGGAGAGAGAAAGGGGCATGGAGATCAGCCCTATGTGTGACAAACATACTGCCTCAGTGGAGAAATCACAGGTATCCGACATAGGCATCTACGAGGTTTTATTTGTGAATTTTAACATTTTTCTTTGGAGTTTGAGATCTTTACCTTGTTCCCTTCCCCCATCCCACCCCTTCTAAATAATGTATTTCTATGGAAGTCACTTACCCACTTGTTTCCATTATGATGATGACTCACTGGGCCTCTCCATCTCCATCATACTTTTAATGGGCAGAGATAAGTAAGCGGTCATAGGAAACCCATCAAAGTTTGGTTCCCTGGATCCCTTGCTGTTTATCCTCTTAAAATTCCATTTGGTGTTCATTGGTGACCATTGTTTTAAGCTTCTTCTGGCTATGGTTTTTTTTTTTTTGACCTTTCCTTTACTCATAGAATTATAGATTTTGAGCTGGAAGGGATCTTATAGGTTATTAGTACAACTCCCTCCTTTTACAGATGAGGAAACTGAGGTACAGAGAGGCTAACTGACTTGCCCATGATTACACAAAGAGATGTAAATGTCTCTTCTTGACTCCAAGCTCAGTGTTCTATCTGCTGCCTCAGCTAGCTGTCTGTCTCTTCACCCTGAGTTTACCTTCTGTCTTTCAGTCTATTTTGGATGTCCCCACACTCAGAATCCATTCCTCTCCCTGCCCAGAAGGGTCCAGAAGTGGGGACCTTTATTCCAGGCTCAGATGCTCGCTCCTCTCATCCCCTCCCATCCTGCAACGCTAATCTTATTTCTTACCTTTTATGAGCGTACCCACATTTCCCAGCAGCCTCAGCAGCTAACCAGTGGAAGTTCTGAGATCCCCACATGCTGATGACTGCTTGCCACGGGCCAAGAGATTCAAGTGTGTTTCAAATGCCAAGGGCAGCTAGAAGGACAGTCAAGAGGCTCTTGGGCCAGCTGAGAACACAGCAGCATTTTTGCAGGATGACAAATGGTCAAAGCCAGATGGCCTTTTTGGGAAATAAGTCCAAGATCTAGTGAATATCTGCATTGGAAAAATGACTGGATTTCTCTGGTGTTAATTCCTATCCAGTTCAGGAGTTGTTTGGCTGGCTCCACATTAAAATCTGCTCTTAGGGTTGTTAGCTATCTCATCAGTAACTATGACCTCATGACATCCTAAAGTCAATTAATGTATGGAAATTTTAGGTGACATATACATGTGTGTTTATATAAACGCAATACATATGTATATATGCATGTGTGTACATATCACATGTAATTTCCATCTATATAATGTGCCTATATACATGCATATAAATATGTGATGAGTATATGGAAATATAAAATTATAAAAATACAAAGGAATTCTGTTATTTATTAGGAATAATACAGCTAAATATATTGTCATTCAATAAATATTAAGGACCTACTATATATCAGGCAATGTGTTAGGTGCTGGCAGTGCAAGTACAGAAATGAAATGGATGTTTCCTTTAAGGAATTTATATTCCACTTGTGGCAAACAACATGTAATACAGATAAATAAATGTAAAATAAATACACATGAAATCTTTCACCATTAAAATATTCCCCCAGTGCTTTCCCACGGCATGGAGGTGACCCTCCGTTCTCAAAGGCTCACCAGGCTGGCTACAGAATCCTGGTTGTTTATGGCTCCTTTGATACTCAAAGACTTTCTCATCTACTTGGTGATGGAGGAATTATGATCTACTCTGGTTGAAAGAGGGTCTACTCCAGTGAAATAAAAGATCTTTAAAATACTGAACTGTGGAAAGGCAGATGGCATAAGATATAGAAGGAGGATGTTGGAATTAGGAAGGTCATGGTTCAAAAGGCCCCAGGGCAAGTCACCTCTACCCTCCACCCTCCACCCTCCATGCTCCCCAGCCTCCCCAACCTCCCCACCTCCCCCACTCCACTCCCGGCCAACCTGAGAACTTGATCACCCTGTAAGTTCCAGAGAAGTTTGCCGATCTGTATCAGTGAACGGAGTTTCCACGCTGAAACTTAACAATGATGAAAAAAATATAGGTTTAGACCCTCACCCCCCCCCCAAAAAAAGTAAGGAAAAAGTATTGAAGAAGAACCGACGCCTCTTTATGAAAAATAGAGTCGGGATAGTGGTTTTGTGTTTTACAATATTTCAGACGTGTTATTTAATCCTCAAAATAGTCCTATGTATGGCAAGTATTTGGATCCTTATTTGATAGATGAGGAAGGCAAGATGGGTAACTTGGCTGCCCAGAGTCACTCATCTAGTCAAGGCTAGATCTGTGGCCATAAGCTGGGTCTTGCTCTCTTGGGCTTTTTTCTGCTTTAGGTTAAGTTAACAGAGGTCACTGCTCCAATGCTGTTCCCAAAAGCTCCTTCCCTCCTCAAGTTCCCCTTCTTCAAGCTCATTTTCACTCTTACCGCCATCCCAGAAGGTCATGGTGCTGGGGTCTGTCCTGAAGAAGGAGTTAAGCGTGGTGTTCAGTCATTTTCAGTCATGTCCAACTAGTTATGACTCGATGTGGGGGTTTCTCAGAAAAGATATTAGAGTGGTTTGCCGTTTCCTTTCTCTGGCTAATTTTACAGATGAGGAAACTGAGGTAAAGTGACATGCCCAGGGTTATACATCTAGTAAGTGTCTGAAGCCAGATTTGAACTCATGAAGATAAATCATCCTAATTCCAAGTCCAGCGCTTCATCTAGCTTGTCCCAAGTTAAACGTGACTCAAAAAAAAATAAGTGATCAAGGGGAGTGACTTTTAAGAGTTCTGATTCTGGAGTTTATCTCGAAATTGTTTGGGATTGTAGAAAACACCCTAAGAGTGTCATTTTTAAAATTCATTAAACACATAGACAAACACTCCAGCAAGTGTGTCAGAGAGAGAAGGAGACAGACAGAAGGAAGAAGAGAGAATGAGCAGGGAGAGGGGGAGAGTGAGAAGAGAAGCGGAGATGTAAGATCAAGAATAGAGAGGGGGGATAGAGTGAGAGAAGGAGGGAAGCGCGTGAGCGTCTGACTCGTGCGCCATCACTCTCCCTCGGCCACTGAGGATGGGGCAGACCCCGGGCAGGCGCTCTCTGGACCGTGAGAGGGATCTCCGGATGCCAGCCAGTTACTTCTCAGGCAAAGGGGTCACTTACGGCCAAGGTCTTATTCCCTGGAAAACGTTTAGTCAGGCCGCCCCGCGTGTGGTGACAGGATGGCCAAGGACCAGAAGTGAATAAGAGTAGATTTCCTCCCCGGTGGAAAGGTTGTCTCATAGGAGAACGTCCCCAACCCTCTTCTCCCCACACCTCCTCAGCTCCCCGGCCCCATTGCAGGGGAATTCCATTCCCTCCCTCCTTTCCAGGCCTATTCTTTCACTCTCCCCAGAGCTTCCTGTTTGTCAGACACTGCAGGGGTCAGGTCCAGGCCATGGCTAGCTCATGGAGGATGCGAGGGCCCGGTCTGCACCCCTAGTGAGGCCATCGGCCACACGTTTCTGCGTAGGAGCCCCCGCCTAAGGAACTGCCGCATTGTTCGGTATTTTCCCTTCTTTCTCCTGGTGGAAATGACTGTGTGCCCGCAGAACCAAAACAATGGCACACATGTCCACAGAGGGACTATTTGTTTGAGTTGTGGCTGGACGTGTTTTCCAGTGTTTTACCAAGCCCTAGGAAAAGCCCACAGAAGCACAGAAAGTCTGGAGAGTTCTGGGGCCTCCTGGGTCGATCTGGAGCTCCTAGTGGGTAGGGATCAGGGTAGCTTGTGTTAGTTGAATGGATTTGTGTACACCAGAGAGTGGTTCACAGGGCACAGTAGGATGGAAAGAACACATCCATCGGAGTCGGAGAACTTGGGTTCGAATCCCAGATGTCCTGCTTACTCTCTCTGTAAAGTGAAGGATGGAACTTCCCTTGTCCACAATGCACTTTTCATCCTTGCACAGATGTATTCCTAAAGCCCAGATCTGGCCAGGTCCCAGGCTAAACACCCTTCCAGGAATGCCCTTTCTCCTAGCTGCCTCCAAGGCTCTCAAATGTCACCCCCTGCGTGAAGCCCTTCCAGACAGCCCTCTATGAGTGCTCCCCCCCTCCCTCCTTGAAATCATTGGCATTTCCTCGAAGGGACCGTTTCCTCTTTGTCTTTGTACTCCCTAAGGCCGGCACAGCACCGGGCACATAGCAGGGACTTAATGCTCCTCGCCTCAGAGTCTGCCTTAAAACGCTGTAGAAGAAATTAGGTTTCTTTACGTAACAGGAACAAACGTGCAACCTTCTTTTTCCCCAGGTTGGCTTCATCGACTACATCGTCCATCCCCTCTGGGAGACCTGGGCGGACCTGGTGCAGCCCGATGCCCAGGACATCCTGGACACGTTAGAGGACAACCGGAACTGGTACCAGAGCATGATCCCGCAGAGCCCCTCCCCCCCGCTGGAGGAGCAGAGCAGAGACTGCCAGGGGCTGATGGAGAAATTCCAGTTTGAACTGACCTTGGAGGAGGAGGATTCCGAGGGGCCGGAGAAGGAAGGCGAGAACCTCGGCTATTTCGGAAGCACAAAGACATTGTGTGTGATTGACCCCGAGCACCGAGATTCTCCGGGGGAGGCCGACGGAGAGACTGAGATGGGAGACACGTCCCCCGTCGACACATAATGCGCCTCTCGCTAGGTCGAGGTGAACGTTCGTCCTTAATGAGCATGCCCGCTGTCCGGTAGGGCCAGCCTGCAATGCGGGTCTGAGGCCTGCTTCTGATGAAGGCCAAATGACCTTTGCAGTTCTTTGAGACTGGAGCCAGAGTGGGAGAGCGTGACCAGAACGGCTTCTCAGGAAACTCAATGAGATGACTCGCGTTGGCCTTGGGGCCTCGCGGTAGTGGAAGCTTTCTGTCTCCATGGAACCAGCTTGAACCGCTGCTGTCGTCCGATCACCCAAAAAGATGACACTCAACTGAGAGAATTTTGATTTTTTCTGCACTAGACTTTGGAAACCTGAACCCGTTAGAGGGGCAGGACCCGCTGACCGATAACTCTCTCTCTGCAAACCTGCCCATCTGTCCTCCTGTCTGCAAACCCGTGTGCCTTTTTTGTAAAACGTTTTCACGTCTTTAAATGCCTGTTGAATACCCAGAGTTTAGTATCAATTTCTGCACAGAACAAAGTGTTTTGGAAATTTCTGTACACTTTTTTCGAGTCTTTCTGAAAAGGAGAAATCGTCTTCCTTTGTCCCCAGGCAATCTCTTTCACCTTCTTGTCTTTCTTTTACAAGCTAGAGAGGAAGGATCGTGTTCAACCCTGCTCCCTAGTCTCCCCTTCCCCTGCCCACCTTCCCCACCCTCCTCATTCCCCAGGGCCCCCCTGCCTTCTCGCTTGGCCTGCTTGGATGCCACAGAATAAAATTTAACAAGCTGGGGGTTGGGTGGGTGGGGAAGGGGCTCCTTCATTTTCTGCAGGACCACGATGGTCCACACTCCATCCAGCGTCAGAAGGCCCCATTGGCTGTGCGTGGTGTGCGTCCCAGCCCCTTTCCCAAAGAAAGTTGCACGCTCTTCCTTCCGTCCTCTCTCCCTCCCCTCCTTGCCCCTTTCTGTAGGTGGTTAGGTTTAGCTAGGCCATCCTCCTCCTGCACTGTCCTCAGCTCTAACACCCTCATTACTGTTTATAACAGTGTATTTATTACTTATGTATATAGTGTAATGTTTTATAAGTTATTAATTTATATAACTTAACATTGCCCGCCAATGGCGGTGTTCAAGAAATTTGTGTAGAAAGCTCTACCTAAGAGCTGCACCTTTGTCACCTTTTCTATGGCATTCTGGAGAACCTGAACATAGCTCAAGAGAGACATACGGACCCCCAGCCCCCTCCTGCCCACCCCTAGGTGGCTTTCATCAAGACAGATTCTCTCCATTTTGGGTCAGTCATAGTTGATAGCGGAACCCCTTTCAAACACTGGTGCTGGGAAAGAGGACTAGCCCCTGTGTCAGAGATGAAAGGATTTTAACCGGGCTCAAGATTGGGGCGTATGGGATATGTCATCCCATGTTGATCTAAGTCACCCATAAACCGTGTTCCAAAGGCATTCCGGCTGCCGCAGTGGCTTCCGCCTCCAAAGCAACACTACGTACTACAAGCACATGGGGTCCCTCTGACTATATCCAAACTACTGAAACGCTCGAGAAAGCCCTCAGCGCCACATTGAGGGGTGCCATGTTTTGGCCAACGAGAGGAGACGCCAAAACTGGCTGCTTTGCTGCAATGTGAATTTTGATAGCAGAATGTGAACAGATGTCATAATTATGCTAATGTGAAGCTTCTTCCGACAAGCCGTGGGAGGTACATCCCTGGTGTCTGTCTCCGTCTGTAAACTCTTTGGTCCAACCTTGTGACCCCAATCATTGGTAAATGCTTGCACAGCTGTGCATGACCAATGGGTCTGTGTGTCTGTTCAGCACTGCGTTGTTCTAGGTGGATGTTTTGTTTTCCAAAGTTTCTCAAAATGTATGTTATGGTATTATTATAATTATAATTATTATATATTGTGTTCAGATGCATTCTTGAGAGATTTTTATATGAAATAAATAAATGAAAGCATGACCTGATGGGACTGTAACCGTGATTATTTCGAGGGCATTCATGGACAGGGAAGATTGAAAATCCAGTCTACTCCTAACATGCCTTTACTCAGCAACTGTTAGGTGCTGAGGGACAGAGGGACAGAGACAAACATGACTCTTAACAATCATCTCCCTCCTAAGACAAGGCTTCCGAACCTGTGGTCCACAGACCCCATGGATATGGGGAGAAATTTAAGGGGGATTCATGAATTTGAGTGCAAACAAAAATTACATCTTCATTATAACTAACCTCTCACTGAAATTTAGTAGGTAAAAAACATTATTCTAAGAAGAGATCCGTAGCTTTCCACAGACTACCCTTGACACAAAAGCTTCAGAATTCTCAATCAACAAGCAAGCCTACCATTGAGACAAGCCAACACTATAGAAGAGGACAGAAGTCAGAGGACAGAAGCGGGGACACCAGGTAGAAGTGACAGGGATGTAGATTCAGGCTCTGAGTCAGGAGACATTTACTAATAATTAGAGCTTGCCAAAAGTTGAATTGTTCATCTTTGGCGAGAGCTAGTTGCCTCTCTTTTGGGGGTCTTCAAACAAAGGTTGGATGGCTACCTATTCAATGAGATAATATTTGTGAAGATTTGCACTATTGTGAAGATATTGCATTATTATATAGTAAGTAAAAAATAGAACACAAGGTATCCCAAAAGTCCTAGTGCCATTTTAAGCTTTAGTAGTTTAAAGCTGCATTAGGACTTAGGAGACATTTTGTATATAGTAGATTATATATTAACACATAATATAATTATGATGCAATATAATTAATGTATATACAATAGACCATATATTAACATATATACATAAAATATGGTAGAGCATATATTAACATGTTATCTACGGTGGATCGTTACAATATGTAATACGGAACATAGCACATAAAGTCAATATGTAATGTATTGTATGGCATAGGAAATGTAATAGCATGATTTAAAGCATTTTAAAATATGAATATATGAATATATATTAATATAATATAAACATTATATAACATAAATATAACATATAATATAATATAGACATAACATAACATGAATATAATATAATATAAACATAATATAACATGAATATAATATAAACATAATA